CTCAAAATTAGATTGCTTACAAACAATATTAAATTAAAAATATAAATATGTGCAGAAATTTTTGTGTGATGGTAGGTGTTTCTATAGTACAAAATCATTACGCCTATGAAGCCTCCCCAGAAAACAAAAACCAAGGCTTGTGTGTGTGTGTGTGTGTGTGTGTGTGTGTGTGTGCGTGTGCGTGTGCATGCGTCAGCCCGACCGCCTCAGACTGACATTTCACTTCTGATATTGAGAAGAGCTCAAAGCAGGATTTAATTTTTCAACTTATGTACATTTTGTGAACATTTTACTCGAGGGTATGAACGTCATTGGCCCCAGAATGTAAAGCATTTTTATTGTCAAATTAAACTATAGTAAATGTTTATTTTTTTATAAAGTATGTTATGTATAATCACTGGTGCACTGGAGATGTTTTGACATGATTGTACATGTTTGTGTTTTTGCGAAAACGACGTTTATGCGTAGTTCGTGAAAAACTACAATTTTCGTTTAAAATGCTTGTTTAAAATGTGTTTTATAAGTTCAATAAACATAAATAAATGTTGAATACATGATTAAAATGTATGATGAATGATTTGCTTTGCTTTAGTAAAATGTTTGTTACTACGATGTGTTTTATAAGTTCAATAAGCTTAAATAAATGTTGAATAGTTGTTTAAGATGATTGATTTACTTTAGTAACATGCTGTCATATTCTTTAAAATGGGGATAAGTCTCTTTTAGCCTGTAATGTTTATGTATGTGTGTGTGTGCTTGTTTATATGATTTATCAAAGCACAAATTTCTATAATGACATGGGTATTACTCTGATATAACAATGTACATTTGGTTTATGATGAAATTTCTGAGTTTTGAGTCGTCATAATTAAGATTGCTTACAAACAATATTAAATAAAAAATTTAAGTATACTACATTATTGTGTGATGGTAGCTGTACAGTAAAATATGTATATATATACAGCTTTTTAAAATGATAAATTATACTACATGACGTGTCAGGGAAAACACAGATTCAATTTGCAGGTTCAACTCAAATTTATTTAAATCTCAAAACTCGACTGGGACTGAAGACCAGAAGCCGTAATTCAGGGCAGATATTAGCGACAGGAAGAGGGGAACAGTCCAAATTAGCCTCCAGTCACTCCACTAGGCAGAGAGGGTAAGGCGTAGGGAGATCAGCACACACAGTCACAGTGTCAATGCTGACGCAACGTCAGAGAAGAGAGAGAACAGCACACAGGGTCCAAGCATCGGTACTGACGCAACGTCAGGGCAGAGAGTTCCGCAAAGTGCGGTTCTGGTAACCCCAGGGCAGGAACTGAGGAACAGAAATCTGATGAAACGAGAGGCAGAGAGCGAGCGGAAGAGAAGACAAACTGAAAACACTAAACTGTACTTGGAACCTATGAAAACATGGCAGGACAAAACACAACAAGACTGGTAGTAGGTCATGAACGAAGTGTAGCGTGTTCACACCAGAACGGTCGGACACAAGACTACACACAAGAGGGGAACTTAAAAAGAGGGAGAATTAAGGAATTAAGAATTCACAGGTGTGACGGCAGCTAAAGTAGTTAATAAGATAACAATGGGGAGGGAAACCACGACGACAATGAGCACATGGCAAACTGTCAAAACAAAAGACAAAAACAACAACAACAACCTGCTGATCAGACCGAAGTCATGACAGTACCTACCCTCCCCCCCCAGGAATGCCACCTGGCGCACTCAGGAGGGGCTCACCTCATCACCGATGGAAGTCCTCGACCAGAGTGTGATCCAGAATGTACCGTCCCGGTCACCAACTCCTCTCCTCCGGACCGTAACCCTCCCAGTCCACCAGACACTGGAAACCCTGACCACGGCGTCTAACATCCAGGAGCTTTCTCACAGTGTACACTGGAGTGCCACCCACTATACGGGGGGTCGGGGAAGAAACAACAGGTTTCAGAAGGGAACAAAGCACAGGCTTAACCCTGAACACATGAAAGACAGGGTGAACCCGACCAAGCGTGTAAGGAAGCTTGAGCCGCACTACCCCTGGACTCAGAACCTTCGTGATGCGATATGGCCCAATTAACCTGGGTGCCAGCTTACGAGAAGGCACCTGGAGAGGCAGGTCCCTGCTGGAAAGCTATTCTTTCGGACCACACACATACAGAGGAGCAGGAGTCCTGTTACGATCAGCCGCTGCTTTAGTCCGTCTGGAAGCCCAGGCCAAGACCTCATGAGCCCTCCTCCAGGTGCGGCGACACCGACGGACGAAGGCCAAGGCAGACGGAAACCGGGAGACAAATTGTGGTCCTCTGTCGGAGACCACATCCACAGGAAGACCATGAATCCGGAAGAAGGGGTCCCCCACCACCTGTGCGGTCTGCTTGGCGGAGGGGAGTTTGGGCAATGGAATGAAATGGGCAGCTTTGGAGAACCAACCCTCCGGCCACCCCCTCCCGCACAGCCTTCCCCACCTGCTGCTCAACATCCCAAGAGAGGGATCCCACTACCACCCCCTTGGGGAGAATGGTGTCGGAGCCACATCCCTCCCAGGACCCTTGAACAGACGAGAAAGGGCATCAGGCTTAGTGTTCTTGGAACCCGGCCGATACGAGAGGGAGAAGTTAAATCGCCCAAAGAAGAGTGCCCTGCGGACCTGGCGAGCGTTCAACCTCTTGGCCGAATGGATATATTCCAGGTTCTTATGATCCGTCCAAACCAAGAAGGGCTGCGCTGCTCCCTCCAACCAATGGTGCCATTCCCCCAGAGCCAGCCTGACTGCCAGCAGCTCCCTGTTACCCATGTTATAATTTTGTTCTGCAGGGCTCAGGCTGTGAGAGAAAAAGGCACAGGGGTGCACCTTCTCATCTCTAGGGGACCGTTGGGACAGAACCGCGCCTCCCTCCACTGAAATAATATGCTCCAAGAACGAAACGGATTTGGCGTGGAACACACACTTCTCCACCTTGACATAAAGCTGGTTTTCCAGCAGCCATTGTAGCACCTGACAAACGTGGCGAGTGTGTACCTGTAAGGAGGGAGAGAAGATGAGGATATCATCGAGATACACAAAGACAAATCTGTTTACCATGTCTCTTTGGTAGTGACCGCCCAGCTTTGGGATAACTTTATTGTCTTGCACGGATGGTATCGGCGTTAACGCGGAGGCACATGTTTGTTGCATTGTGCTTGCTTAGTAATTCTATGTATCCATTGATTGATTTAAACAAAATTGGAAAATTATTGATGAAATAAACAACTCACAGCAGGTTTTTCCAAAAAGTTGAAATAAGAAAAAAATTAGATGAGAAAAAAAGATAAGAAAAAACTACAGTAGGCCTACAGTAAAATGTCACTCACTGCACTTCTATGTTTTTATCAACCCTGTCTTGTGAATTTGGCCACAGGTTTTTGGGCACATCATAATGGATGTTTTCATTAGCTAAAATCTTGGAAAGAAATCTTCTGGCATGAGGGGGCCTATTGTGAAACTTGCACCTCCATGTGGAGAACAATTCCTCAGTCAGGTTACAGTAAGGAAAGGGGTGTACGGGGGTAAATACAAGGTGATAAATTGTGGATGGGCCTGAAACCATGATTGCACTCAGTGCTGTTGTTAGGAATTCTGGCCCCATTGCACTGATTTTGCTATGGAGCCTCCTCAAAATTACATTCAGTGGGGGGTGGTCGGGCCCCCAGCAAACATCGTTCTGGGCCCCTCTCAACCGCTGGGCTCTCAAACTCTCCTCCATGTCATGGCCAGGGTAAAGCCTGCCTCATCCAAAAATATGAATGGCTTTCATCAGCTTCCAGCTCTATCACCCTCTAAAAAGACAAATATTGTAGGAAAAACAAATACTGCCAACAATCATATAGAATTTTTGGGGTTTGTTTTTTTCTCCCAACAGCAGGCATCTTGAAACTGATCATACCTAAACATATACATTTGGTTCACTTTCATAATCTAAACATAATATTGTTAATCATTTTCTATAAAAACTATGCTTTAAGAGTAATGCAACAGTTATGTAGCATTTTGAGCAGTTATATCAATTGATAGTTAGATAATTGTAATGAAATGAATAGACACTCAATTCAGATGTAATGTATGAGTTGCATTTTGAAATAGTAATATTTTGATGTTAAGTTGTGTCATTTTGAACTGGTTATTTTAGTTCAATGAACAAAAGATCTTTGGTTCATGTATAATGTATCCAAGTATTTTGGAAAAAGTCTTAAGTGTTTTGAAAAATGTGCATTTTGATCATCGGTTGTGAATTATTTGTCTAGATTTTTGAAAAATTACATGAAGGTTCTGTTATTAGTGCAAACATGATTGTAAAAAACTGTAAACATGCTTGCATTTTACACAGACAATCTGTGGTGAGGTGATTTCCTGATTGCCCTTTTGTGTGTGTGTGTGTGTGTGTGTGTGTGTGAGAGAGTGTCTGTGTGTGTGTGTTGTGTTTTTTTTTTGGATCATGTGGTTCATCATGTGGTTCAGGTTTGTACTGTACCTGTATATAAGCACTGAACTATGTACTGTATGTGTTCACTGTCTGCTGAAGAGCGTGTAGGCTCGAAACGTCACCTGTGGTGAGAACATAAATATTTTTCTACTTTTGGAGCTGTGGTGTGCCAACATTGTTATTCATGTTTTGATTATGTAATACAAACATCAAAATGTAGCTGTTTAAAAGAAATGGTAAATGTTTTGATGTCGTAACAAAAAAAGTTGGTGTTTTACTGCCTCTGTATTTATTCATTTCACCTGGAAACTGCAGTGAATTGTATGTACATTTTTAAAAGAACGTAGGAAGAGGCCAGTGAGCCTGGGTTGCAATTTCAAAAAACAAGATTTATTTTTATTCTTAAAAATAATAACGTAAGAATGTATTTACCCTTTTATTTATTTAGTTTTTTATCTAGTTCTTTCTTTCTTTTTTTTTTTTTACAGCTTCATTAGAAGTGTTCAAAACCAAACAAAAATAAAAAAAACTAAAATGAGCGAGACAGGTGAGTACATTCAGAGGTATTTAACCTGGTATATAGATACAATCAGTAAATGTATTTGTAATATAAATATATCTCTTTGTATCTTCATAGAACATCTAATTTCAGACGATGGCAGTGATTCATCTGGTAAGATCTCTTTAGTCATTTCACAGTTGTGTTCAGTTCTCAGTTTATTGTCTGGTCTACAACGTCCATATGTGTGATTCCGGCCTGTCTGCTTTGTGGTTGCCCTTGTGGATTTATTAAAGACTGCTTTCATTGAAACTGCATCTCCTTCGTGTGTTTATCCACTGAACTGTGACCGGTATAATCAAAATCTTCAACATTTTTCTTTTGACTTTTTTTTTTTTTTGGTCTTTGTCTCCTATGCACCTATCTATTGCTTTCAGGTGTGTGAGGATTGATTGTTAAAGACCTTCATTTCTGAAAGTGATCAGCATTTGAGATTTGTCATGTAATTGGAACCAGTATAACTTTAATTCAAGGTTATTTTTAAGTTTCAATATAATATTCATCTGTCACAGCTGTATAACAATATAATTTCAGACAATCCGTCTCCCCTTCATGACAACTCAGGGGCTCATGAAAGGACACAAGTCAATGATATAAGTACGTAGGTTTTTTTTTTTTTTTTAATAAACCTAACATTTATTATTAAAGTTTTTAAAATGTCATTAATTTTAAAGGGATAGTTCACCCAAAAATGAAAATGAACCCATGATTTACTCGCCCTCAAGCCATTCTAGGTGTAACGTTATGTGACTTTCTGCTTTCAGAAAAAACATCCTGGCTCTTCCAAGCTTTATGTTCTGTCAGTTGGCAGTCTTATACCCAATTCTAAATCCCCTCTGATGTAGTATCCTGCTTTAGCCAACTCATGACAATCCAGCACATGAGTAGCTAATCCGATCGCATGTGAATAAATGCAAATATTTCCTTAAAAAAAAAAAAACCCCAGTAAAGACAGTGATGCAGTCAGGATCGAGGTCTAAACGCTCTCATGCACTGTATGTTTCATTCATACTCGAAGCTGGAGGGTGCTCTTGCGCAAGTCCAAAGTCCAAAATGGCCTCATAAAAGTAATAACTAACTGGGATATGGCACTAACAAGCAGTCATTATTATAGAAGATGAAGAAGAATAACTTATGACATGCCAGGAAATAAAGGCATTCAGCTATTGCTGTAGCCAAAGCAACCTCTGCTGCTAAGCTGAACAAAAAGAAACATATTGACTGATGAAACTTAAGACAGTAAACACACGATTGTGACAATATATGGTTTATGTGTGTTTCTCAAGTCATCTCCAGATGATAAAAAAGCATCTGAATAATACAGTGCTAACTGACCCTTCACTGGGAGTTTGGCTGACAGCAGGCCTGGCTTGAGATAGAGAGTGTGCCAAGTGATATTTCGGGGATGGAGCGGGAGGGGTGGGCCTGTTTTACAAAAGTATAATTTTCCGAGGAACAACACTCAACACAGAAAAAAGCATGCATAACAAGAATGATGGAGTTACATTAACACTAGGCTTGCTGTGGAAGTCGGTGTTACACTGTGTTTGGTCATACACTGATTACATTATTTGACCACTGCGGCACCCAAGTCCAAGGTCCAGTCAAAAAGAGTCCAAAGTAGTGCAAATCACAAATATCAAAATTCATAAATGTCATTTACATACCTAAAATACATATTTTACAGTCACTGTTATGCACATTGATTATAAACATAGCTCAAAGGCTTCCTACCAGTGGCTTTAACAAAACGTAACATCCAACATAGTTTTATCATGGGTAGAATGCAAAATATTTCAATACAAGCATTTCAGTGAAGTTTAATTTATGCAGTATTTCAAACCTTTAAACCACAGTGGAAAATAAACCCAGTTTAAAAGTAACTCAATTCCATGGGAAAAAACGCAGACTTGACAACCCTGCATCCACCATGAGCTGCAGGAGTGAGATTTGACTGATCACGGGTCGAGAGTAAGGAGAGATGACTGACAGATCATGCTGGAGGATTTGCTGCTCAACAGATCCTGAGCTCACTGACAAATATATTGTAAAATGTGCTCCCTTTACACAGAGTACGCGTGATCGCGCAATTGAAAGTAAACAGCGCGAGCGCTCATCAAAAGCAATTCCAATGCTGTGCATATTGATAGTGGCTCCCTGATGTGCAAAAATTATATACAATATTAGAATGTTTGCGGGTGCAGGTGGGAGTGGAACACGCTGCAGGAGTGGGCAGTAAGAAAACAAAAAAGAAGAATATATGCAGCTCAAATGAATATCGCACCAATTTTGTGATTGGCTGTTATGTAGAGTGGGGCCAGGGTGGGCCAAGCTGCTGATTGGGTGGGGGTAAAAAATAATAATAAAACCTGTCAATTAGATGAAAAAAAAGGGTATTATTATATTTGACATTTCTGTAGCCCTCACTTCTGAAACGATATCTACGCCCCTGTATCAGGGTTCAAAATGACCATTTGCCCATCACTGTATGTCATGGAAGAAACACACAGGAGTAGAGCAGCACAATTCTGGATAAATTGAGATTCACGAAGCGAGAGATTACAGTTTTTAAATATGGATGTTTATACACAAACACATCGATTCACTTCAGAAGGCCTTTATTCCCCCCCATGGAGCCGTGTGGAGCACTTTTTATGATGGATGGACACACTTTATTTGGACTTCTATTGGACTATTGTATCTCAGCAGCTATTCACTGCCATTATAAAGGTTGGAATAGCCAGGACATTTTTAAAATATAACTCTGATTGTATTGTGTCTAAAAGAAGAAAGCATATACACCTAGGATGGCTTGAGGGTGAGTAAATTATGGGGTCATTTTTTGGTGAACTATCCCTATAATTGGCATATTAAACAATTAAAAATCATGTAATTATTTTAATGTAATTATTATTATTGTTATTATTATTATTACTTGCTGTTTAAATGCTTTGTTTAATCCTTGACATTTCAATCTGGTTCAAAGGATCAAATTCATCTGATATCAGGATTGTTCTGCTGGGTAAAACTGGATCAGGAAAGAGTTCAACAGGAAACACTATACTGGGCAGAGGGTGTTTTACGGTGGATGATTCACTAGAGTCATGTACTAAAACCTGTAAGAAAAGAGAAGTACTGATTGGTAACCAGAGGATCTCAGTCATCGACACTCCAGGCCTGTTTGATACCACAATGTCTGAACAGGAAGTGGAGCATGAAATAAAGAAGTGTGTGGAGAAGTCTCTTCCTGGTCCTCATGTGTTTCTGCTGGTCATCAGACTGGACGTGAGATTCACAGAAGAAGAGAAAAACACAGTGAAATGGATTCAGAAGAACTTTGGAGAAGAAGCTGCACGTTACACCATCATTCTGTTCACTCACGCTGATCATCTGAAGAGAAAACCATTAGATGAGTATATCAGACAATCTGATGCTGTCAAAGCTCTAGTTAATGAGTGTGATGGCAGATTTCAATCATTCAACAATAATGACATGCAGAACCGCTCACAGATCACTGAACTGCTGGAGAAGATTGAGAAAATGAAGGAGAATGGAATAGGGTACTACACTAATAAGATGTACGAAGAAGCTCAGTGGAGATTAAACGGGGAAAAGTTCTGTAAGTGTGTGTGTGTGTGTGTGTGTGTGTCTTTGAAACATATTATCACCATTATATAAACAGCGGTGGGTGTCACTGTCTGGTTCATTCCATATTGCATATCATTAAGCTAATTTTGTACTTTTTTATTGTGGTTTGTTTGTTTGTTTATTGCCTGCATTGTAAACACTCTGATTATTTGAAATTTGGATTGACAGGGTCTGGAAAACCTCGAATTGTGCTGCTGGGTAAAACTGGATCAGGAAAGACCAGTGCTGCAGAAACCATTGTGGGCCGAGAGAGTTTTACTAAAACCTCTAAAATACAAGAAGCTTGTGTTGATGGAAAGAACATGAAAATAATCGACACTCCAGGACTGATTGATGCACCAGCAAAGATGATGACAGATGAATTAGAGAAGTGTGTCCACATGTCTGCTCCTGGTCCTCATGTGTTTCTGCTGGTCATCAGACTGGATAACAGATTCAAAGATGAGGAGAAAAACACAGTGAAATGGATTCAGAAGAACTTTGGAGAAGATGCTGTACATCACACCATCATTCTGTTCACTCATGCTGATCATCTGAAGAGAAAACCATTAGATGATTATATCAGAGGCAATCCAGACCTACAGGTAGTTACTGAAGGGTTTGGTGGCAGATTTCACTCATTCAACAATAAGAACATGGAGAATCACTCTCAGGTCACTGAACTGATGCAGAAAATTAATGTAATGGTCGAGAAGAATGGATTACTGCACTACACCATTGAAATGTACCAGAAAGCTCAGGGAAATAAGCAGTTCTGTAAGTGTGTTTGTCTTTTTGTGTCTATAATAATTAATGTTCAATGTAATAATACCATCATGATGTATCAGGAATGCAAAAATAAAATCTATCCAGGTTGCTGTCTACGTTTACATGGACATCAGTAATCTAATTATTTACCTTATTCTGAATAAGACAATATTATGATTAAGGTGTTTACATGAGCTGCTTTTAGAATATTCCTTTCATTTTCCTGTTTGACATGTTAGAGTACATAGATGGATTAATGGCTCACGTCATTACGTCACCATGCGACGCCATCTGACGTCCAACACAGAATTTCATGTATCAACATATAGTTCGTCTTCGTTGTGATGCCATACAGTTTTGGGTGTTAAGTTTTTTTAAAGATTTATTTTTGCCATTTTTACTTTTATTTGAAATCGTATTATTTAGAAATTTATTATATAAAGTATGAGAGAGAGGGGTGGGATCGGGAAACGTCCGCACACTGCCCACGAGGTGTTGAATTTTATTTCAAGTGCAGTTAATTATTTGTCATGCTATACGTGCAAACAGACGATGGCGTTGTTAAAGTCATGCTCTTTTATTTGCCGTCAAACGGTTGAACACTGTCATGTGTGTGTCCTGTCGCAAAATGCAGTGAAAAGTCCTACACGACGGTAATAATGTGATTGAGGTGTTTACATGTCTTTACTGCACTTCAGTAATGCGACTAAAATAGGAATACTCCACATGTCTTAATTTGATTTGTGTTTACTTCGATTATGACTGTAGCTGGATGAAGGTAATCAAAAATCTCTGTTTACATGTTAGATTCTTAATCAGAGTATTGCCTTAATCGTGTTAAAATTGGAATAATCAGTACATTTACATGGACAACAATACTCTGATTTTAATACGATTAAGACAATACTCTGATTAAGAATCTAGCGTGTAAACAGAGATTTTTGATTACCTTAATCCAGCTACAGTCATAATCGAAGTAAACACAAATCGAATTAAGACATGTGGAGTACATTACTGAAGTGCAGTATAGACATGTACACACCTCAATCACATTATTACCGTCGTGTAGGACTTTTCACTGCATTTTGTGACAGGACACACACACGACAGTGTTCAACCGTTTGATGGCAAATAAAAGAGCATGACTTTAACAACGCCGTCATCTGTTTGCACGTATAGCATGACAAATAATTAACTGCACTTGAAGCTTTCAGTAAATTAAAAATTAAACACCCAAAACTGTGTATGGCATCATAACGAAGATGAACTGTATGTTGATACGTGAAATTCTGGGTTGGACGTCGGATGGCGTCGCATGGTGACGTATTAACGTGTGCCATTAATCCATCTATGTACTCTAACATTTAAAACGAGAAAATGAAAGGAATATTCTAAAAGCAGCTCATGTAAACACCTTAATCATAATATTGTCTTATTCAGAATAAGGTAAATAATTAGATTACTGATGTCCAAAAGTAGAAGGAAGGAGCATTTTACTTTCATTGTTTTAATGTATGTTATTTAAAAAAATTTAAATAAAATAAAATAAAGATTACTGCTGTCCATGTAAATGTAATCATTGTTGTCCATGTAAACATCTTTGTATCAGTCCTGCATTAGTTACTGCATGTTTCAGTTCAATTTAAATTTACATCATTAAATCTATTTTGACTATTTGTTTGCTGTGATTTAGTTAATTTTTAATTTCTGGATTGTAATCGTTCTGTTTTAACATTCTGAATGGCAGGGTCCGAGAAACCAAGAATTGTGCTTCTGGGAAGGACTAGATCAGGAAAGAGTGCTGCAGGAAATGCCATCATGGGTCAAGAGAATTTTAAGAGGAGAAATTCAGCTGATTTTTCTACTAAAACCTGCAAACTACATACGGCACATGTGGCTAGAAGAAGCATGAAAATAATCGACACTCCAGGACTGATTGATGCACCAGAAGAGAAGATGAAAGATGAATTAGAGAAGTGTGTCCACATGTCTGCTCCTGGTCCTCATGTGTTTCTGCTGGTCATCAGACTGGACATGAGATTCACAAAAGAGGAGAAAAACACAAAGAAATGGATTCAGGAGAACTTTGGAGAAGATGCTGTACATCACACCATCATTCTGTTCACTCACGCTGATCATCTTAAGGAACAATCATTAGATGATTATATCAGAGGCAATCCAGATCTACAGGCATTTACTGAAGAGTTTGGTGGCAGATTTCACTCATTCAACAATAAGAACATGGAGAATCACTCTCAGGTCACTGAACTGCTGGAGAAGATTAAGAGGATCAGAGAAGGTCAGAGCTCTTTCTTAAATAGTACAGTTATTTTTACATGCTGTTTAATCCCAGCCAGCAACCCCCGTGTGGGGCTCAGATGTGTTGCACCTAGGCTATCTAACTGGAGGCCAGCCAGTTTTGTCTTCAGTGCTTAGCCGATGAGGGCAGTGGGGCAGCCAGTCCACCCCCTGTGTACGGCCCTGTTGAGAATCATACAGTGCTTCCTGATAACTGTGTCTGAATTACTCAAGAGTTAAATCCAAATTCAGAATATCCTATCTGTAGTTTCTTAGGGTAGAGCTATTGGAGTGAAAAAGAAAACATCTCCCTGAGTTGATTTTGAGTGTCTTTTTTTTTTTTTTGCTATAGGCCTGTAAATAAACTCTTTAGGCTATTATTATATGTATATTAGTTAGTTCTGATTCTCTAATCTGACTGGAAAAGAGGCTTTCCAAAAGTGCAGCTATTTCACCAGTATCAGCAGTGTTCTAGACCTGCTGTTAGTGAGAAGTTACACAGGTGTGGCGGCAAGGGTCTGTCTTTATGAGCAAGTCAAATAATACATTTAAAACGGATTTATACGGATTTATACATGAATAAAAAAATGATTAGGCTCAATAGACAATCAATCTGACATCTTGAGTCATGCTGAAGCTGATGTTTCCCTTCAAAGAGATCAATGGAATTGATTCAGTGCACTGACCAGTGCTGATGTCAATGTTGAAAGGATACTGTGACAAAGATATTGCTTTCATCTTAGGACAATTGATTGCAAAATGTTTTTTTTATGAATTTGAAAAAACAAATGCTGAAAATTACACACATTCACTTGATCTCTCTCTCTATTTCTGTCTGTTTAGTTAAACACAAGCATTAGGTGTAAAACAAGGGCATAGCCTCATAAAAAATGTGAACATCATGGTTATGGCAGTTGCTTGTCAGTATCGCAGTATTATGGTTATTGCAACAGCCTTATCTCAGGGTTAGTAGTGTGAAATTCAGATCTATAAATGACCACAACACACTTTTGATAAGTGATTAGATCTGTAAATGAGGCCACTTTAAAATTATGGCATTTCTATTACCATCCATAAACAACCAAGATAACCTTTTACTTTTTCCCCCAACCAATAATATGTTTTCTAGACACACTGTAACAAAGGACACAAACAAACAAAAAAGCAGCTAAAGCATCAAGAACCCAACTAAAGTAAATGTTATTCACCACAGTGGTGGACTATCTTATTTTCAACAAAACATCAACGTATAAACCTGTTAATTTTAAATAGGGTCATCATGTTCATGTTAATTTCCAGTTTAATATGTCACAAATAATTAATGCAATTAATGCAGCATTCTTCTTATTTGTTTCCTGGCATCCTTTGGCTAGCGTTTCAATGGACTATATGAACATGCTATCAAGCACAATAAGATGCTAAAGCAGGGGTTCTCAAAGTCTACATTCAAAGGTCCAAATCTGAATTTTCATCAGTGTCAAAGGTCATACCGGAACAAATGGTTATTAAAATACTTGTTTTTAATAAACATACATAACATGCACAACAAATAAACACTATTTTTTTGAAAATAAATAAATAAAGTGCCCTTTGCATTCAAAATACATTTATAACAAGTGCAGAAGTGGCAAAAAAATTAATTTAAATGTCAATGATAGAGGTCGACCGATAAGGGTTTTTCTCTGCCCGATGCCGATATTTAGAAATCCTAGCCTTATCTCCAAATGACTACAGCCCCATTGACTCCCTCTGCAAATGCATTGATGAAATTAACAGTTGGATGTGCCAGAACTCTCTTCAGTTAAACAAGGAGAAAACTGAAGTCATTGCATTTGGAAACAAAGATGAAGTTCTCAAGGTGAATGCATACCTTGACTCTAGGGGTCTAACAACTAAAAATCAAGTCAGGAATCTTGGTGTGATTCTGGAGACAGAGCTTAGTTTCAGTAGTCATGTCAAAGC